GGGGTTTGAAGGGGGTGGGTAATACTGGGAGAAAGAAAAAAAAAAAGCAATTATCTCACAGCATCCGGCTGCTATGACAGCGGTTGACAGCCAGGGTGAGCTGCAGCTTATAGCTTTCATCCTGGCCGTCCACCAAACACTTTTTTTTTCTTGCACAACCAGAGCATTTCAAACCCTTCAGCTACTGTACCTTTGATTGCAACGCAGAGTGTGTGTGTGTGTGTGTGTGTGTGTGTAATCTACACACAACAAAAACAAACCTTGAGGATGTTTCAGATGTGAGAACATAAAAAATTAGGTTCCCAAAGTAGGGGGTGGGACCCCTAGTGGGTGCAGAGCTATAACAGGGTGTGAAGCACAGCAAATAAGTTTATATTTGTCTGTCTATGTTACTACTTTATCATTTTTTATTAATTTTTAAACGTAAACCATGTGGTTCTTGATGATCAAAGTTAGGGAGATCCGATATTACCTGTCGATATTAGTATTATTATGTAATATTTGTAAGAATCGTTATCGGTTTTTGCTCCAAAAATAAAAACCCAATAACACAACGTCTGAGTTTGACTAAGTGATGTGCCTCAAAAATAGTTTTGGGGGAAAAAAGGCTGTATATGAAAGTGAAAGCCACTAGATGGCAGTATTGCAGCTCATTTTATTAATCATGTGATTGTATGGAGAATGTTGGTGTCAGGAACTCATACAGTGGTTTGAACAGATAAACAAATAAATATTACCAGGTCTGTATCCATATCGGTTCATATCGGAATCAGAAATTAAATGTTTGGAAAATAACGGACATTGGCAAAAAGTTAATATCGGACATCCCTCATCAAAGTACGTCTGATATCGTAACCTATTTCAAAGTTCTGTTAAAAGTCGGGAAAATGTTTGTGAAGTTCAAACGAAAAGTCAAGGGACTGAGCCGTCTTTACAGGAGCAGCAGCACAGACCGGGAAAGTGTTTGATTTTGACTGTGTTGGTGTGTGTGTTGGTGTGTGTGTGTGTGCATGTATGTGTGTGCATGTTTGTGTGTGTGTGTGTTTCCCCAGTTCCCCCTCAATTCAATTCACTCCTGTCAGAGCAGACGCCTGAGTTCTCCCTAAGAGCCGCCGGTCTTTTCATTTAAATCTTCCACAGTGACAGTGAAGGGGGAGGGGAGGGGGGG